AAACATATAGAAATTATAGTTTTCGCTATTTGTTGACGTTTGTCAGCGTTTAAGAGTCCTTCTCACGAAAAAAGCATTTTCTTAAAAATTCGTAGTTTTTTTTCCTTCAAATTTTTTCCGGGCCACAATTGATTAACTAACTACCCGGACTCTGAATTTCATGGTCATTGAAAAACTGTGACATTGTCTTCTATAAGCCCAAACTTGAGTAAACATTGAAGATTTTTAGCGTTTTTGCTGAGTTTGTGCTTTGGTAGTTGTCTATTGTTTCTAGTCTGTCATTATACAGCATTCTTGTTCAACACGCGTGCAATGACCACGCTTGGCTGACTTCCGAATGCTGACCGAGATTAAGCAAAGGCACGTCAACTTGAAGTGAGGCTTATCCCTTTTTAATATGTCTTGAAACTACCTAATATTTAGTATTGATAAATGAATATTTACCCTTCTATAAGCGATCTGCCCAAACATTTGGGCAAACCACTGCGCAAGAATGTAAAAAGTCCCCTTCAGGTTGACGTGCAACGCTCAAAACGTGTTTTCTTTAGGATATAACTCACCAGCTTCCTATTTACCCTCGCTTTGAAACTGAGGCCTCATGTACAACTTGAAAATGGCCAAATTCGTGGATAAGACTTAATCCGGTGTAATCGTCATAGACGTCATTTGGCGGGGAAACCAGTGGTAGCGTCGCCAAATGTTGGCTGTTTTCTCAGGCTACATGATTGTAGGTTTCTTATTTTTCCTAGAGGAGGTCAACTCAAGGTACGTTCACACCCTCACTTAGGCACTCCATGTTCTCAGCAGCCTCTCCCCCTCGAGAGGTACGGCACCTCAACCGACACACCGTCACAATGAATCCTTCTTTAAGGAAAAAAAAAGTTAAAATGGTATTCCATCAAGAGAATATTTTAATAACTAAAAGTAAACACTCAAGTACAGATAAACTGTTCTTAATTTTAACTTGCTCTCTCGATTCAAGTGAGCTAAAAATATGGATATTAAATAAACGTGTCTATTACCATTTGGGTGATTTAAAATTACAAGGTTAAAATCCCGGGGGAGTACCCCTGGTAATAGGCTTTCATAAATGGGGATGTACCGTACCGCAGAATGGGGGCGCATTTTGACTGTATCAGTGGAGTTGCATTTCCAGGACAGTTTTAAAAGATTGGGGTCGCACACTTATTGGAATTTTCAGGGTAAGATAATTCTGGTGAGTAGCGATTTAAAACTGGGAAGATTCGCGATTAAAATGTAACAGCCAGTGAATACGTTGAAAAGGTCAAAATTACATTTGCCCAAAAGGTACTGAGACGGGGTCTGCAATTGACCACTGAATAGACTAAAATGGTGTGCAAAAATAGACTCAAGTACTCCCGGGGAGTTAAATTCACCTCAACAATTTCTCTTATAGATTGCACCATTAAATACACTTTTTTGTAATATATATTTATAATTTAACCTCAACTGAGCTAGAACGGAATAACCATGTAAAATCCACCCAAAACACAAGCTAAGCTACACAACTTTCTCATGATCCTGAAATTTCATTAATCAGTCAAATTATGTATGTGTAATGAAATACTGACGAGTGAAGTTAGGAAATAATTTCAATAGGCCATTTTACAGTTGTGCGCTCGGTTTCCTCCCCTTGGCATAGAAGCGAGGTTGGAGGTCACCTAGTTTTTTTTTTTAAAAAAAGCTTCCTTCTTCCTTCGAACGTAGGACGCGTCGGACCAATCAAATAAATTACACCAAAACGTAATTGAAGCCGGCCAGTAATAAGTTTTCTCCCGAACGAGGCTAAATATACATTATCAGACAAACTTTTAATTTATTAGTTTAGTTCGTCGCATGTGAAGATCGACGTTGGTCCCGTAGACGATCTTCAGACGTTCTACTAAATTCGCTAAGTTTGGTGCGTCTCATGAAAAGTTCGACATTTGGCCTAGGCCTTATTCTCATGCCAACAAGCCCCTGAACAAGATCATTTACATGTGACCACAGGAGGATTTGTGAGAAAACAAGGTCACTTCCAGCCTGGGCGGTGGGCAAACAACGGTAAAATGGCCTACTCATTTTTGTGAAAAATTTTCCACATTTCCCTCACGTTTAATATGATAACAAATTGCGAATCACTGTTTATAGGTAACATCTGAGGAAATGTACGAATCGTCCGAGACCGATTAACATGACACTTTAAATTTTAGTTAAAGAAGATCAACTGCATCAGAGTCGCCATATTGGATTAGGAAAACGGAATGAGACTGTAGACGAGACTCGGCTCCACAACCGCGGTCAAACGTCTGATGCGTCTTTTGTTTCATTAGTGTGATTCCATTTGCCCTTAAATGAAAACATGGGCAAGGATTCGTAGTATAATTAGTTGACGTACCTATCTTTGTATCTTTCTTAATGAGCTTCTTTCCGTTAGAAATGTAGCCTGCTTGTGAGAGTCTTGTGAGCAAGCTCTCCCTTTCGAGTGGCGAGCAAAGCACGCCGAGAGAGAAAGCGCCCTCGCACTCGCGTTTCCTGTCACGCGCGGCTCTTGCGTGACTTCTCGAAACTTCCGCCAACAGGAGAGCTTGCTCGCAGGCTATTAGAAAAGCTTCGCAGACAAGTACAATTAAGTTTAAGTTGGCAAATCGCGCCGAAAGTTAAGCAATTTCGCTTTCAAAGGTTTGAGGTCTTAGTAATTTATCAGCGTATTGTTGTTATATAAATCTTTCAATTTTAGTGAAAGTAACCAACTAAGCTTTAAAGTACTTTGATTATCTTTTGCATTTTTCTCTTGTTTAATAGCGGTGAAAGACTTAGTCTGCTACAGAGCCGTTTTTAGTGTCGTCACGCAACGTGCGAGGAGCGTTACGTGACGACACTAAAAACGGCTGTGTAGCAAACTATGAAAGACTCGGCCCCCTTGAATTTAAAGATGATGTCACAAAATGAACAGACTGTCTGCCATCCTTTTTCTTAGATCTTTAGCCGTCTTCCATCTAATCCCATTCCGACGCATTCTATGCTCCAAGAACGAGGGCTCAAAAGATCCAACCAGGAATCCTGCATGAGAAGAAAATCAACCGATGAAAACTCTGAAGCAACTAGTCTCCCTCTCAGCCGCTTTTGTTTCGTCACGCAACGCTCCTCCCCAACAAGGAGGAGTGTTGCGTGACGGGACGAAAACGGCTGCGAGGGAGACTAAGAAGCAGCCAGAGACAGTTGGATAAACGGGCGATCAGGGTTAAACACATCATAGCCCTAACCTAAAATAAACAAATAAATATGTAAATAAATTCATCATGCTGTTGTTTACACATCCTTAAGGTGAAAATGAGAGAAATTTAAGAATCAACGCAATAGTCCAGTTTCGAATTAAAAATTACCGCTGAATACAAACATTAACGACACAATAGACAGAGTAATAAACAGGTCTTTTTCTCGTTGAAATTTGTGAATACATTACTTCAGATTGAGGCTAAAGCTATAAAAATACGTCTTCACTTCTTTAATTCAGCGGTCATAGCGAACACGAAAATGGACTATTCTTCTTTGGTAACAATTTCCTTTCTCCTTAACATCTATACCTGTCCAATTACTATATTCTAAATACCAATGAAATACCAGGTGAGATTTCGCGCGAAAACGTGATATCTTCGCACGTGTAAAGATTACCGTTGCCATGGTTGCATAATAAACCGCGCCTTTGGCAGCAAAAATGAATGATTTGACTACGATTAAATAAAGCTGTACTTACACCCTTCCTTGGACAGTTCTGATTGGCAAACCATTCCATGCTGTACATACACATCAGCAGACCATTGCCGACAATCAGTGTGATCCACATAAAGATGTTCCACGCTTGAGACACGTTCTCGTGCTTCTTTGGTTTTAGAAACACAAACGACACTGAAATAAAATATAACAACTCAATCCATCATTGACATCGTTATTGTTATACTAACCACTAATGTCATCATGATCATTCACAATCATCATCATCATCATCATCGTTATCACCAACAATAACACCTACACTACTGAACCTAAGTAGCAGGAGCTTGAAAGTAATGAGGGGCCATGAAAGAACAAGTCATGTGAGGGAGACACGAGAGGGAGGAGAGACACGCGTGTCTTACGTCGCGTGTCGGAACCCCAGTAGCCTACGTAGCAGGCGCTTGAAAGGAAACATGGGTTCATGAAAGAACGAGGCACGCGATGGACACACGAGAGGGTAGAGAGACGCGTGTTACCTCGCGTATCTTTTGATTAATCACTGTTGTCATCATTATCATCACCAACAACAAGACCACCACTAGCATGCGTAGGAAGGGCTTGAAAGTAATAAGAGGTTTCTATCAATATTTTAATCACTACTGTCATCATTATCATAATCAACAACTACAAGGACCATTACTAGCAGGCACAGCAAGCGCTTGAAATTGATATCGGTGCATGAAAGAACAAGGCACGCGATGGAGACAAGAGGGGGGAGAGACAGGCTTGCCCCCCTCCAGTGTCACGTTCTTTCTCTCCCCCACTATGCAAGCTGCACCATCACCACCACTACCACTATCATCATCGTCAATATCACAATGATAGAAAATTACTAGTTTACATTTGAATGAAATAAAGACGACGCCTATGTACTTACAACCAAATGCACCAAACATAATGAGAAGAATGGGATAGAAGAAGCGGAACGCGAAGAGTAGAACGTATTCGTGAACAATGGCGGACAAGATGAACACGGAAACTGTCGCCACTTGGCGGTTCTTAATAATCTGAAAAAAAAAAGTATAATAATAGGCACAGTTATAAATTAACTTTGGGCCTAGGCTTGGTTTGCGCCGCTCTCTGTAGAGATAACTTAGAACCATCCACCTCCTTTAGCCTAATGAAGGCAACACTGACTAATACCGTCGCCTCAAACTATACGGTGGACAATTTTGAAGTTATAAAGTTATTCTGATTTTTAAAACTCCGTGGTTTTTTTCAATGTAGATTGGATTCCCTTTTTTACCAATGCATTCACTTCCGTTTTTACATCTCTCAATTTTTTAAATCTCTAGAATTTTTAAGAACCTTTTATTATAATCACTATTTGTAAATAGGCTTTTTATCATGATTGCTGTAATTTTATTGTTATCAAGTTTGTCTTTAGAGGGCCACTAGGGAGGGAGAATACTTGTTTAGAATTTTTAAGATCCTTTATTATAATTACTATTTGTAAAAAGGCTTTTTATCATGACTGTTGTAATTTATTATTATCAATTTTGTTTTTAGAGGGCCACTAGGGAGAATACCTTTTATAGCAATTGGTGTCACCCTCTTAAAATAAAGGTTATTATTAGCCCTAGTTTAGTCCGAAAATAACCAACTGACTGTTCCAATGACTGACTGATTGATTATTTGTGGATCATAACCAACAACGGACAAGTTAAAGACTTGACAAAGCCTTAATAATAGAGAACGGTTTCCTAATACTTGCCTGTTGGGTTTACCCGAACGGTGTGGCTATTTAACAATTATTCCTTGAGCCCGAATGGGCTCTGAGTCAATAGGGAGTTTAAGATACGCCAACTACGGACTACGACTACGGTTAAACATGGTACTGCGCATGATCAAAACCACGTGATTGTTCACTTTTCCCACGTAGTCCTGCGGCTACGGTGAGTTGTTGAGCTGTTTCGCGTAGTCGGGACTACCGAGAACATTTTGCTCGTATTTTGCCGTCTCGTTAATTCAAGAATCTCGTCTTTTCGTAAAAAAAGTTTTCAATTGACCTGCTTTAAGTGAGAGGGAAGCGAAATATGTAAGTTGTGTCTAATTTCTGCTCAGATTTACGCATTTAATCCACTGTTGTGACTACACTTTTATCTAGCTAAGCTCATATTTAAATAGGCTTAGCTGTTCACACGCAGAATTCAGATTGACGGCCGAGGAGAAGAGAAATCATGCAGGTAATTTACTTTCTCTTCGCACTTGAAAAGTTTCAATGTTTGTTCGAACTGATTAGTGTGTCTTTCTACTTGTGTAACCTTTGTTTATGCGTGTTTTTGTATCGCATTTGTTGAATGAAAATGATGGATGTAAACATCTTCGAGATAATCGAAACTCGGCATTTGAATACTTCAAACTACATGAGATCAGTAGTCGGAGAAGTCCATCTTCTGAATCTAATAAATGAGCTATTACTATTTCTGTCTATTTCTTTAATATTTGGCATAAGTATTCATAGGCTAAAAAAATAAAACCTGTGTAACCAAAACTTTGTTCACCAATTTCACTCGACGTAATTGCTTCCTTCAAGTATGGAAGAATTTGTTCATTGTTCTAAAGATAAGATCACATGGAAAACTGACTTGCATTTTTGTGAACTGTGATAAACACAAGAAAATCTTTGCGTGTTGTTTCCCTCTCCGCCTCTTCTCTCGTAGTCTACTGTCGGTAGTGCAATCTTAACGTTCTGTATTTGCACGACTCAACCCAGTGCTACAAACAAAGGACAACGCTCGTCCAGCCGTAGTTCGTAGTCCGTAGTCTCCGTATCTTAAACTCCCTAATGGCCCATGAGGCCGAAGGCCGAATGAGCTATTGACTCAGAGCCCATGAGGGCGAGAGGAATAGTTGTTTTAGTAAAATCCAACTAGTTGGTCAAAAATATCGAGACAAAAAAACTTTAGCTAGTTAAAGCTAGACTTTAATCCTTTTTTTGCCACCAAAAAGCCGGCGCTTTTCGCTACTAGTGGGCTATGACATATAGCCTAGTAGTAGCTCAACCAATCAGAACGCAGCATTGATAATAGACCACTAGTTGGATTTTACTAATAAATGTTAGCGTGGGCTATCCCTAGCATAACCTAAGCTTTCTCTACCCCAACTCAAAAGTCCCTAGTCAAGTGACCAGAGTAACCTCACAGAAAAAATTAAATGCAAAATGGGGTGTTGTGGGTGGGGTCAACTCCATATAATAGATAAATAAAAAAAATCCTACCCGATAGAGGTCCTTGTAGATGTAAGCATACAGCCAGTCATGTACTACTACATTCCATGTACGGTAGTAATCAGCATAAGAATTTGAATTCCACCAATCCTGTAACGAGACAAGAGGACAATACAGTAAATCACCATTTTTGGAATTGCACACGTGTTAGGCATCCTCCTGATGAACAGTTACGACATTCAGACATTTCCTATAGCGGTAATTATTGACAGTCTGTCCCCATTGGAACCTTCATTGCAGGTATCCACAGACACCCTGGTTCCACTTCATAGTGAAAAGACCTGCTAAGAGGGGATGGGCTCCCTCCCTACCAAATCCCACAGCTTATGAAAGGTAGAGCAGAGGTCATCGCCAGAAATTGTTACGTCTCTAGTGTTCGTTTTTAGCCTGTACACATTCCTTCTATTTTTTTTTTATTTTTAGAGAGCCTGCGAGCCCCGGAGCCTGCAAAGCAGCGCCTTGGGAAACTAGAAACTAGACTGTCTAACCATTTGGAGATGTCAGAGCAAAGAAAACACCTTGTGGTGTAGGCACACGAGGGAAATGGGAACGAGTAACCTTTCTTCCTCCTTCATTTTCGCATCGTTCAAGTTCTCGCGCGATGGGAAAGCGAGGGAGGAGGGAACACGTTATATTTCTTCTTCCTTTTTGCGAATTCTTCGCGTTCTCGCGCGAAGTGCGGGCGAGGCAAAAGGGAACGCGTCATCTTTCTTTCTCCTTCTTTTCTGCTTCCTTCGTGTTCTCACGCGATGGGCTTGCGTGGGAAGAGGGAACGCGTTACCTCTCCTTCGCGTTCCATTGCGCCCTAATTCACTTTCTTCCATTTTCTTTTGAAGGCCTTCCACACAGACCAGGAGGGGAGGGAAGGGGGAGGAATTTATGCCAACAAACCTTGTAAAACATTCGGTCAGCAAAGCGGGTCATCTCTGCGAAGGCGTTTAACCACGAATGAAGTATAGCGAAGAAGCCAAGGACAAGAACCACTGTTCCCGGGAGCATACAGTTGAATACACAAAGTGTGAAATGCCTAAAAAGAAAGACATATATTTAAAAAATCATTAGTTTCTGTATTAATAAGTCGTGGGGTACAAAATAAAAATCATTCTCAGAAAATGCTTAATGGCTATGGCACAAGGATATAGCTGTTTTAAAAGGTCAAATCNGAATACACAAAGTGTGAAATGCCTAAAAAGAAAGACATATATTTAAAAAATCATTAGTTTCTGTATTAATAAGTCGTGGGGTACAAAATAAAAATCATTCTCAGAAAATGCTTAATGGCTATGGCACAAGGATATAGCTGTTTTAAAAGGTCAAATCTCTGCTAATGTCATTATTTGGTGCCTGTATCAACACACAAAATGCTCCTGTAGAGATGTGCAGAAGATAAAAAACAAATTTCCCTGGGGAGTACTAACCAATTTTTTTTTTTTCGGTGATTTGTGTGGTATAGCATTGAAACTCGAAAAAGCCAAACTTTTTCATTTTTTTAAAGTTTCAATCCATGTCTGTCAGCTTCCATTCTTGCCATCCGTTGCAACAGACGACTGGAAACAGTTTTAAAGCCTATATGATTATAGCGGGGCTCCCACGCGCGTGAATGGCGCGTGGGACAGAGCTCCATACTCATAGAATATGGTCAGCCTCTCTTCGTTTGGTTGTCACGTGATTGACCGAGCGTAGGCGTCTACAGATTGTACGGGTGGGGTAGGGGAGACTATCAACAGGAAGGGAGGGGTGTCTCAGGTGTGTCTTGGCAAATCCACATCTTTTATGTTGGACCTTCACGATATGGTCAATGACAGCTGTCAAAACAAGATAGCCACTGACCAGCATCACATGACCATATCGCGGGTTCATGTGTCAAATTGTGGAATACAAGTTTATTGTTTGATTTAAATTATAAATTTATTAAAGGGAGCCTCGTGTTTAGCCCTGGCTAAATCTATATATTAGCCTTAAATAACAAGACTGGACAATAATTTTTTCAGTTTATCCTTGAAACTCGTACTTCACCAAGGGTATTCGAATTCGCAGGCGCTCACACACTTCAGTTAATCCTTATGAGTCGTTGATGAGCTGTTAATGAGCTTTCGAACATTACGTAAATGTACTCACTTAAAGCTCCAGTTAGACTTCCCAATATCTCTGAAGACTGGAACGCAGAACCGAGCGAACACATAATAAGTATTGAAGATACAGGCCAAAGTTTGAAATGCATTAGACACCACATAATTCCATCTGATGTAAGGAGTCCTGAAATAGTAAACAGAATAATGTGCCAGTAAGTCTTAAGATTAGTTCAAAGATGTCGTTTATATACGGTATCTGAAAAAAGATTTAGCACTTGTAAGGCCCAAAAGGCAAACGAATGCATGCAAAAGATTAACCACATTATACAGACCATATAATAAACGTCGATAAATACGCCTAACAAAATTCCCTTCAAACTAATAGTTAAATACATTTTGAGAAAATTATGCAGATGTATGGCCTAATCAAGTAAGGGAGATTAGAGGAATTTTACTAATTGGTCGATAAACAATCAACACACATTCACAATGACTTTCAAACCGTTTTGTGGACTATTGGTGCTGCACGCCATTGAGCTACAGTTTCCAAAAATTTTAATGGAAACATATAAAATGGCATACTTTCGTGGCCCATTTCTGACCTGTCAGTCTCTATCGTCCATTTCCAGTAATTCGTCTTAGAGGAAACCAAAATTCCAATTAAAAAAAACTGATTTGTTTTGGCCCAGCGTAATGTCTTGCTTTAACCAAACAATACTCTGATCTCCTTGCTTAGTTTCACTGGTCTCTTATCGGTCAATAAAGCGTACCAAATCAGTGGATGCCAATTTCGTGCACTTTGATTGGCTCCGGTAACTCGCAATATCCTTAGCTATTCTCCGCTTTCGAACGGGAGTCAATATGGCGTCCCGTTTCATGACAGTTTCGAAAGACTACATTCTAGCGTCAAATGAAGCGGCTGTACCAACAAGTACCAAGAAAGCCAAGGAATTTGGATTGTTGAGATCTACAGGTAAGTAAAAAAAAATTATCCTATTTAACTTGCAATGCACTGGACAAGTCCCCAAAACACTGTCAATTGAAACGTTAACTGCTCTTATTAAGTGACGTCTTTCATTCAAGAATAGTTTGTTCACAGACCCTCTATTTTCTCTTAAGAGATGTCAAGCTCGCTTATGAAAATATTGGCCGCAAGCGCTTGGGGGTGGGGGTGAGGAAAGGAGTGCTCCGCGGGTTCAGAATGTACGTGGACACGTAGGTTGGCTAATTCAAGAAAGTGACTTAATCATTTTTTCTCCAAAAGATTTGTCAAATACTTCACTGTGAAACAGCTATCGCCCTCACGGTCGGTGCATAGCGCTAGACGTATACCTCGACGCTTCAAATAACGGTATGTAGTGAAATCCAACTCGTGTTCTATTATCAATTCTGCGTTCTGATTGGTTGAGCTACTATTAGGCTATATGTTATAGCCCACTAGTCGCGAAAAGCGCGGGCTTTTTGGCGGCAAAAAAGGATTAAAGTCTAGCTTTTACCTAGCTAAATTTTTTTTATTCTCGACATTTTTGACCAACTAGTTGGATTTTACTAAAACAATTATTCCTCTCGTCCTCATGGCGTCTGAGTCAATAGCCCATTTGGCCTTCGGCCTCATGGGTTATTGACTCACAGCCCATTCGGGCTCGAGGAATAATTGTTAAATATCCACCGCTATTAATTACCTCCCCTTTGGGTGGGACAGCTGTATAATACCATATTGCATGCCATTATGCTATTGTATCATATTTGCTGCTGTTATCTTAACAACAAAGTCTTACATTGGGTACTGATCTCTGTAGACAAGCGTTGGGCAGAACAAGAAGTACAAGTACTGGCCAAACTCTGGCAATGGCTGGTTCGCCTCTTTATCGTGAGTCTCACTAGTTGTTGCATCTTCATCGCCGTTGCCCTGATTGACTTGGTCAGAATCCTCAACACCAGTCGAAACTGTAGACACAACCAAACCTTCTCTATTATTCTAATATAGTCAAACCTACGTAAGGTGATGTTACACGAGACGATTCGCAACGACGATCTTTAAGCGCAACACAGCATTGCAACATTGTTGCGATATTGTTTCGAATGGTTACAATATTGCTCCAGCATTGTAACGCTGTGTTGCGCTAAAACTCGTCGTTTCGAATCGTCCCGTGAAACATCACCTGTAAGCGACCACTCAACGGAGGGTAGTCACTCACGAGAATCGAACCACATGGGTCTCATTCTAGAAGTGGACGAAATACATATACATTTTTGAAGAGAATTCGTCGCATGTGATATCTAAGTTACGATATGGCTTGTGTAGTCTCCTGTTCCCACAAATAGTACATCGCACTCGTTTAGAAGTGAAGTAGAAGCAATTAACATAAGGAATCAAGCAATTTCTTTAGTGGTCGCTTACAGGGATAAGGACAATTGAAAATTCTTAAGTTTTTCATCCACATAAGTGGTCGTAATCGCTTTAATTCGAGAGGTTTTTCCCACTGTAGTAACTTGACTATGAGGATTTCGGAGTTTTGGATACATGCAGCTGACCGCTTACGGGAGCTGGTTGATTGTATGTCTCACACTTTCCGAATGTCCGCCAAAGCACAGCGCTCATTTACTCGGTCATGAGATGGGCTACGGGTCGTTTCGATATAAAGTCGTTTCGATATAAAGTCGTTTCGATATAAAGTCGTTTCGATATGAAGTCGTTTCGATACAAGTTTACTCAGTGGAGGAGTAAAAGTTCCACTTACTTGGCTCAAAGAACGAAGAGCATTAACCCAAAATGTTTCTTTTGTTCACGCGAAAATGTTACTTGAAGTGAAGGAAATTTTCGTGCAATTTCACTGCTTGAGTTCATATCAAAACGACTTGTTTCGAAACGACTTTGAATTGAAACGACCGTTTTCCATACTCACAATATTATTTTTTGTAGTGAAAAGCGTAAAAATGGTACCGAGAGTTCTATACAAACTAGTCCAATTTGCTTCATACTATTTCATTGTTTACACAAACTACTAAAAATTGCATCTTTAATGGCAACTTGTCACCAGGTTTCTACTAGCCTTCCTGGCCTGTATAATTTAAAGGAAATGGGTTGGGAACAATTAAAACAAAAAAAAATGTTTACAAAGATCAGATACAAGTTGATTAGTTACAGAAATTCCATAAATGTCTCTTCAACGGCTGAAGTAGAACTCGTTTGGCCTCTTGAAGTGTTAATCCTTTGAATATAGAGAGTTAGAGTTTGATTATTTTTTAACCCTTTCACTTACAGGAGGGTGTAAATGGGACTGTCTCGCATATAACAATTGTTGCTGTCATAACCATACAAAAGAAGATATTACGCCGCGCGGAGGTAAAAAATTTCTCTTCGAGTATTGAAAGTTGATATCTCACGACTGACTAGTTTTAGCCTGTAAGCAAGCTCTCCAGGGCGCTCTGGCAGCGGGGAGGGAAAACGAAGGAGAGCTGCCAACTACATCTCTGGAATTTAAATATCTGAATCGAAAAAGTTGATGCGAAATGCTGATTGGCGGAGATGACCTTAGTAATGACGTCATTACCCTTGGCACGTGCTTTCACGTGTTTTTTAATGTTTGTTTACATTCGTGCTTGTTTAAGCTTTGCGCTGATTGGCAGAAATCTGAAAGCTCAGTCGACGGGGAGCCACAGGGGAATTGGAGGTTGAATTTAAATTCCAGATACGCACTTGCAAGCTCTCCTTCCTTTTCCAGGAAAGCGCCCCTGAAGAACTTGCTCGCAGGCTTATATAATAGCGTCCTTTTCTCCAAATTCCTCCTCCAACAAGAAGAAGACAAAGGCAGGCTCTACTCTCAGCATGAATATTTGGCCTTAAAGAGTTAGCTGTGGCCTCTTTTGAGGGATAACTCCATTGATACTCTCTTGCTAACAAAACACATTACTTTAGAGGAGGCATAACAGTTTCCTTACCTACTTCTTTCCTGTGTGACAGAACCTTAGGAACATTTTCCCTTACAAAGGCATGAACTTTCAGCATAAAACGAACCTGGAAACCAAATTAAGGCAAAGAGAACTTACACGGTACGTCAAAGAGGTAGAATAAACATTACCCCGCAAAATGGCAAAGGTATATGTTTGAGAAGGGAATTACATGTATGGTGTTACAGTGACAATCAGAAAGATTTCACTTTTAAAATTAATGTGTTCTTCCAAAACATATTCGTACTCTCCTTAAGAGACGTTTCTTTTTTTTCTCTTTTTTTAGAACCTCTCCACTCCTACCCCGATGGAAATTCCAGTTTAACTTCAGAATTAAAAAAAATTGGCTTTTGAGAACCACCCCTACCCCCTCTCGGAGATAATGGACACACCTATCCATACCTACCCCATAGTCCTCGACTTCTTAACAAAAACTTTGATTGCGAAGAGGAGCCCATGACCATGACTTAGGGTGAACAACTTCAGTGTACTCAAGTCACAGCACTTGCACCAATCAGTTTATTCTTAAAAATTAAGAATTATCTTACAAACGCTTTCTTTTTTTTCAATAAATTTGCAAAGATGCTGGCCACATGGGTGAAAACACTCTATAGACCTGGAAATGGTATTTTTCACCCTTTAGTGTGTTGACAGATGTAGTTTGTATGTTTGAATTTTCTCATACACGAAATGATGTGGATGAGATCGGAGGAAAAGGGATGTGTCCTCTTTACATTACAATTATGTTAACATGCTAATGGGCAAGCTTGGACGTCAGCATAAAAGGGTGCCACTAGCAGCCACTATCAGTTCCAGCCCAGATATGAATGATATACAGTGTGTATGCAAGGTAAACCACACTTCCAGGGTAACTTCCCTTACCCTCTTCAAACACTACTGTAGGAGAATACACAAAGTGTGAAATGCCTAAAAAGAAAGACATATATTTAAAAAATCATTAGTTTCTGTATTAATAAGTCGTGGGGTACAAAATAAAAATCATTCTCAGAAAATGCTTAATGGCTATGGCACAAGGGTATAGTTGTTTTAAAAGATCAAATCTCTGCTAATGTCATTATTTGGTGCCTGTATCAACACACAAAATGCTCCTGTAGAGATGTGAAGAAGATAAAAAACAAATTTCTCTGGGGAGTACTAACCAATGATTTGTGTCGTATAGCATTGAAACTCGAAAAAGCCAAACTTTTTCATTTTTTTTAAGTTTCAATCCATGTCTGTCAGCTTCCATTCTTGCCATCTGTTGCAACAGACGACTGGAAACAGTTTTAATGCCTATATGATTATAGCGAGGCTCCCACGCGCGTGAATGGCGCGTGGGACAGAGCTCCATACTCATAGAATATGGTCAGCCTCTTTTCGTTTGGTTGTCACGTGATTGACCGAGCGTAGGCGTCCACAGATTGTACGGGTGGGGTAGGGGAGACTATCAACAGGAAGGGAGGGGTGTGTCAGGTGTGTCTTGGCAAATCCACATCTTTTATATTGGACCTTCACGATATGGTCAATGACAGCTGTCAAAACAAGATAGCCACTGACCAGTATCACATGACCATATCGCGGGTTCTTGTGTCAAATTGTGGAATACAAGTTTATTGTTTGATTTAAATAATAAATTTATTAAAGAGAGCCTCGTTTTTAGACCTGGCTAAATCTATATATTAGTCTTCAATAACAAGACTGGACATCAATTTTTGGTGACAAAGCGGATCAAAATGTAGAACTCTTTCAGTTTATCCTTGAAACTCGTACTTCACCAAGGGTATTCGAATTCGCAGGCGCTTACACACTTCAGTTCATCCTTATGAGTTGTTGTTGAGCTGTTAATGAGCTTTCGAACATTACGTAAATGTACTCACTTAAAGCTCCAGTTAGACTTCCCAATATCTCTGAAGACCGGAACGCAGAACCGAGCGAACACATAATAAGTATTGAAGATGCAGGCCAAAGTTTGAAATGCATTAGACACCACATAATTCCATCTGATGTAAGGAGTCCTGAAATAGCAAACAGAATAATGTGCCAAATAAGTCTTAAGATTAGTTCAAAGATGTCGTTTATATAACGTAAAATTCCGAAAATAATTCCCGGGGCTTATATTTTTCAAAGGCCCTTTTTGAGGGGCTTATTTTTGGAGGGGCTTATATTCGGAGGGGCTTATCTTTGGAGGGAAATTTGCGTTTCAAAATCGATTGGGCTAGCCTTGTACTTGGAAGTAAATTGACCGTTTTTGCTTTATTTTAGTTTGTATTTGACGGCAATTTCCAAGTACAAGCCCCTGGGGGCATATATTCGGAGGGGCGATTTAACGGAGGGTTTTTTGCGTTACGAGTTTGGGGGGCTTATACTTGGAGGGGCTCATACGTGGAGGGGCTTATTTCGGAATTTTACGGTATCTGAAAAAAGATTTAGCACTTGTAAGGCCCAAAAGGCAAACACATGCATACTAAAGATTAACCACATTATACAGACCATATGAGTTTAGTTTAGAGCTAGAAACGTGGATAAATACACCTAACAAAATTTCCTTCAAACCGATAGTTACATACATTTTGAGAAAATTATGCAGATGTATGGCCCAATCAAGTGAGGGAGATTAGAGGAATTTTACTAAGTGGTCGATAAACAATTAACACACATTCACAATGACTTTCAAACCGTTTTGTGGACTATTGGTGCTGCACGCCATTGAGCTACAGTTTCCAAAAATTTTAATGGAAACATATAAAATGGCATCCTTTCGTGGTCAATTTCTGACCTGTCAATCTCTATCGTCCATTTCCAGTAATTCGTCTTAGAGGAAACCACAATTCCAATTAAAAAAACAAACTGATTTGTTTTGGCCCAGCGTAATGTCTTGCTTTAACCAAACAATGTTCCGATCTCCTTGCTCAGTTTCACTGGTCTCTTATCGGTCAATAAAGTGTACCAAATCAGTGGATGCCAATTTCGTGCACTTTGATTGGCTCCGGTAACTCGCAATATCCTTAGCTATTCTCCGCTTTCGGAAGGGAGTCAATATGGCGTCCCGTTTCATGGCAGTTTCGAAAGACTACATTCTAGCGTCAAATGAAGTGGCTGTACCAACAAATACCAAGAAAGCAAAGGAATTTGGATTGTTGAGATTTACAGGTAAGTAGAAAATTTTTATCCTATTTACCTTACAATGCACTGGACAAGTACCCAAAACACTGTCCATTAAAACGTAAACCGCTCTTATTAAGTGACGTCTTTCATTCAAGAATAGTCTGTTCACAGACCCTCTACTTTCTCTTAAGAGATGGTCAAGCACGCTTATAAAAATATCGACCGCAAGCGCTAGGGGGTGGGGGTGAGGAAAGGAGCGCTCCGCGGGTTCAGAACGTACGTGGACACGTAGGTTGGCTAATTCAAGAAAGTGACTTAATCATTTTTTCTCCAAAAGATTTGTCAAATACTTCACTGTGAAACAACTATCGCCCTCACGGTCGGTGCATAGCGCTAGATATATACCTTGACTCTTCATATCTTGGTATTTAGTAAAATCCAACTAGTGGTCTATTATCAATGCTGCGCTCTGATTGGTTGAGCTACTACTAGCCTATATGTTACAGCCCACTAGTAGCGAAAAGCGCGGGCTTTTTGGCGGCAAAAAAGGATTAAAGTCTAGTTTTAACTAGCTAAAAGTTTTTTATTCTCGACATCTTTGACCAATTAGTTGGATTTTACTAAAACAATTATTCCTCTCGCCCTCATGGCCTCTGAGTCAATAGCCCATTCAGCCTTCGGCCTCATGGGCTATTGACTCAGAGCCCATTCGGGCTCGAGGAATAATTGTTTAATATCCACCACTATTGATTACCTCCCCTTTGGGTATAATATCATATTGCATGTCATTATGCCATTGTATCATATTTACTACTGTTATCTTAACAACAAAGTCTTACATTGGGTACTGATCTCTGTAGACAAGCGTTGGACAGAATAAGAAGTACAAGTACTGGCCAAACTCTGGCAATAGCTGGTTCGCTTCTTTATCCTGAGTCTCACTAGTTGTTGTATCTTCATCGCCGTTGCCCTGATTAACTTGATCAGAATCCTCAACACGAGTCGAAACTGTAGACACAACCAAACGTTTTCTATATTTTTTCTTGTTTAAAATTTTAATACAGTCAAACCTCCGTAAGGTGATGTTACACGAGACGATTCGCAACGACGATTTTTAAGCGCAACACAGCATGGCAACATTGTTGCGATATTGTTTCGAATGGTTACAACATTGTTCCAGCATGGTAACGCTGTGTTGCGCTAAAAATCGTCGTTGCGAATCGTCCCGTCTAACATCACTTGTAAGCGACCACTCAACGGGGGGTGGGCGCTCACGAGAATCGAACCATATGGGTCTCATTCTAGAAGTGGACGGAATACATATACATTTTTGAAGAGAATTCGTTACATGTGATATCGAAGTTACGATATGGCTTGTGTAGTCTCCTTTTCTCACAAATAGTACATCGCACTCGTTTAGAAGTGAAGAAAAAGCAATTAACAGAAGGAATCAAACAATTTCTTCAGTGGTCGCTTACAGGAATAAGGACAATTGAAAATTCTTAAGCTTTCATCCACATAAGTGGTCGTAATCACTTTAATTCGAAAGGTGGTTTCCATTGTAGTAACTTCACTATGAAGATTTCGGAGTTTTGGATACATGTAGCTGACCGCTTATGGGAGCTGGTTGATTGTATGTCTTACACTTTCCGAATGTCCGCCAAAGCAAAGCGCGCATTTACTCGGTTATGACCTGGGGTACGGGTCGTTTCGATAAGAAGTCGTTTCGATACAAGTTTACTCGGTGGAGGAGTAAAAAGTTCCAATTACTTGGCTTAAAGAACGAAGAGCATTCACTCAAAATGTTTTTCTTGTTCACACGCAAACTTTACTTGAAGTCAAGCAAATTTTCGTGCAATTTCACTGCTTGAGCTCGTATCAAAACGACTTGTTTCGAAACGACTTTGAATCGAAACGGCCGTTTTCCATGAGATGAGGTTACTCACAATATTATTTTTTGTAGTGAAAAGCGTAAAAATGGTAGCGAGAGTTCTATACAAACTAGTCCAGTTTGCTTCATATTATTTCATTGTTTACACGAACCACTAAAACTTGCATCTTTAATGGCAACTTGTCATCAGGTTAATATTAGCCTTCCTGGCCCGTATAATTTAAAGGAAGTGGGTTGGAAACAATTAAAACACAAAAAAAGGTTTAAAATGTTTAAAAAGATCAGATACAAGTTGATTAATTACAGGAATTCCAGAAATGTCTCTTCAACGTCTGAAGTAGAACTCGTTTGGCTTCTTGAGGTGTTAATCCTTTGAATATAGAGAGTTTGGTTATTTTTTTAACCCTTCACTTACAAGAGGGTGTAAATGGGACTGTCTCGCGTATAACAACAATTGTTGCTGTCATAACCATATAAAAGAAGATATTACGCCTTGCGGAGATAAAACATTTCTCTTCGAGTATTGAAATTTGATATCTCATGACCGACTGGTTTTAGCCTGCAAGCAAGCTCTCTGGGGCGCTCTAGCAGCGGGGCGGGAAAAGGAAGGAGAGCTTGCAACTACGTCTCTGGAATTTAAATATCTGAATCGAAAAAGTCGATGCGAAATGCTGATTGGCGTAGATGACATAAGTAATGACGTCATTACCCTTGGCACGTGCTTTCACGTGTTTTCCAATGTTTGTTTACATTCGTGCTCGTTTCCGCTTGGCAATGATTGGCGGAAATCTGAAAGCTCAGTCGATGGGGATCCACAGGGGAATTGGAAGTTGAATTTAAATTCCAGAGACGTAGTTGCAAGCTCTCCTCCCTTTTACAGGAAAGCGCCCCGAAGAGCTTGCTCGCAGTCTTATATAATAGCCTTCTTTTTTTCCAATTCCTCCTCCAACAAGAAGACGACAAAAGGATGCTCTGCTCACAGGATGAATATTGGCCTTAAAGAGTTAACTGTGGCCTCTTTTGAGGTATAACTCCATTGACAATCTCCTGCTAACAAAACAAATTACTTAAAAAGAAGCAAACAGTTTTCTTACCTACTTCTTTCTTGTGTGACAGAACCTTAGGGACATTTTCCCTTACAAAGGCATGAACTTTCAGCATAAAACGAACCTGGAAACCAAATTAAGGCAAAGAGAACTTACACGGCACGTCAAAGAAGTAGAATAAAAATTACACCGCAAAATGGCAAAGGTATACGTTTGAGAAGGAAATTACATGCATGGTGTTACAGTGACAATCAGAAAGATTTCACTTTTAAAATTAATGTGTTCCTCCAAAACATATCCGTACGCTCCTTAAGAGACGTTTCTTTTTTTCTGATTTTGGCCTCATTAAGAATTATCTTTTAAGTCAACACATGACGTCACGGCAGCCACACTGGTATCCAAAAAACAATGAAACGGTGGCCATGTTGGTGTCCCAAACTAGTCCTGTGGGAGTTGAACTCTTTTCTTAAGCAAACGATTTCTTTTGTTTCAATAAATTTGCATAGACGCTGGCCACATGCGTGAAAACACTCTATAGACCTGGAAATGGTATTTTTCACCTTTCGATGTGTTCGCAGATGTAGTTTGTATGTTTGAATTTTCTCATACATGACATGATGTGGATGAGATCGGAGGACAATGGATGTGTCCTCTTTACATTACAATTATGTTAACATGTTAACGGGCAAGCTCGGAAGTCAGCATAAAAGGGTGCCACTAGCAGCCACTATCAGTTCCAGCCCAGATATGAATGATATACAGTGTGTATGCAAGGTAAACCACACTTCCAGGGTAACTTCCCTTACCCTCTTCAAACACTACTGTAGGTTCTTTTATGTCCCCTTTGATTTCACCTGAATGATGAAAGAAGGATGAATGAGACAAAGCCAACAGTTTAACAAAACTGCCCAAAGGAGCACAGCCTGTGTTGCAGCCGGATATGTCTCTCGAGAACTAGATGAAGAACAGTATGGATGTAGTCCTTCTAGACCGTCTGCAACGCAGGCTAAAGAGTGGAGCTTCCATTTCAATGGCAAAAAGTACTCTAAAATGTATTTAGTCATGGGCGCTGCTGTTGTTGGCTGAAATGAAATATATACAGTTAATTACCTGTTCTGCAAGTATGATAATAGAAGATGCAGGAGGTAGGTTATGTTGACAGACTTCCTGAACTGGGAATATGGCAAACACAATCAAGTAAGTTATGTACAACATAAACCAGGCCATATCTGGCAGTGGCATCCACGAATGCCTGTTTGAATGCCACGCCATAAAAATGGGAAAGGCTGACATAGCCATGACTTTCATAACGAGCCAAATGCTGACCACAGTTGAAGGCTTTCCAAACGCCCATCTTAGAATTGACAGATCAAGTGTAAGACTGAAAGAAAGCAAAAAGGGATATACCAGTCAGTTCATTAAAGACCTATAGATTCTAAGATGAGGACCGCAGGTAAGAGTTTTTCTCAATACTAAATTGTGCTCACACATGAGCCAGAGTCATTTTGGCAGGAAAATGTGATAGCCATTGTCATTCTACAACCAGTTTTAGTGAGAGTGTCGTAGTGGTGAAAATAACTTCTATATTAGAAGTTTTGTCATTTTGCGACCAAGAGAGGGTTTAACCTCTTCCAGTAAGATAAGAGTGCTAACTTTTCTGGTGAAAAAAGTACAATTAAGCTTTCTGGGGTGTCTATTTTTTGATAATACAAGTATATGCAAAAAAATTTAAATCAAATCTCGTACTCAACTACAATCATTCTCGTCCTCAAATTTGAACATAAATTTCAAACATCTTAACAACAATTAAATCCACATATTTAATTAACACAATATTTTTTTTTTTTTACTGTTGGTGAATAATGGCCTCATAAATGTCTACCTCAATTTAAAAGTTAAAGAATCATATTGCCAAAAACGTGTACTTAAAATAAAAATAATAATAATAATAATAATAATAATAATGTAATAAATAATATTTTAAGAGGAGGCCTCAAATCACCTAAAGGGGGTTTTCTGGAGGGTCCTCCAAAATTAAGATAAAAAATAATACATTAAAATAAAACTAAGATACGGCTAAAAACTAAGGTTTAAAACTAGGACTAAGATTAAAAAGACCAACTAAGGTTCGAATGGCTTAACAAAAACTGTTTCAGTTTGTGTTTAAAAATCGTTTGAAAACTGTTTAAATCTAAGATAAAAATACTAAGATTCAAAACTAAGACAAAAATACTACAGGTAATTACAGTTCGAAACAGTTTAATGATACATATGTACATGTACGTTATGCACCTTCCTTTATCGATGTAGTCATAAACTACAGTGTTGATGATTAACACTATAAGCAAGGCTACAAAAATGTTGTAGATTGTCTTGATATGGTTTACTTCAAGAAGCTCCCTGGAAGGAAGGAGGGAAGAAAGAAAATCAGCCTTCATTGACAATAGTTTATTATTAAAGGATTTCAAAGCAATGTATTATTAAAAAAAATCCATACTACCCCTACTGAGGGATCTTGGTTTCAACTCTCCCCTCCCCCTTTCCCGAACATGATGCTAGTTTACATGTAGCTTCATAATTTCCTTAAAAAATTCAGCATGCAAAGAAAATTGTGTCCGATAGCCCAGGGCTGGTGAATTTTGCTATCGGAATATTAGTGAATTCTGTTATTATGAACTTGCAAAGTTTTAGGGGGCATTCAAATAACAGAAAACCAATAATAAACCTTGCTCATCAAAAATTTTTCCAGGCTAGTTAAAATGGCTCTTTGGCTAGTTAATGCTATAGCTACCATAACAGCAAGCTGTAAAACTGACCTTTATAACATAGCGCGCGTGCTTGCCCTATATAAGTCCTATTGAGCTGCTATGAACAAAATCTTTATTTACGCACGCCCGTGCGTAAATAAGATGACGTGAGCATTTTTTTTTGTCTAGCTGCAATAATTGCAGCTAGACAAAAAAAAAATGCAAATTACAGTTGTCGTCTTTTAAGCTGCAGTGCAGTTTTCCTTCTCTTTAAAACATGGAAGAAACCAGCGAAGAACTGCCCAATTTTTGTATCGGCATTGACCTTTTAGGTCCTGATCCAACAGCAGCAAAAATAAAGCCGAATTAAAAAAAAACTCGCAAGTTGCGCGTTTCGCAAATTTGTCGGAAAATTTGCCAACTGCAGCAAATTTTGGCCGAAAAACATTCACTGGGAACAGAACAGACACCAACTGGTCATCAACAACATTTAAGGGTAAAATTTCCTTTTTTATTTTTGTTTTTAAATTTGTTATGCACTTTTGTTATCTCCGGACAATCCGACTGAAGCAGGAAAATTTCTCTCGCAATAACAACACAAATTACACAAGAAGACATAAATTTATTACTCCCGAAAACAACTGCTGCCAGGTCTTCTCAAGAAGCCGTAATGACCAGCCAATGCTTGTAAATGAATATAAGTTTAAAGAAGGATGACAGTCGTCTTCGCTAAAAACATGTTTTCTGAATTTCGCCGAGCAAAACGTAAACATCTTTTCAGCAAATCCAAACCATACTCCACGACTTCTTACGAACATATTAGTATTTTAACTTTAGGTGAACTTTAAGACTCTTTTACCTTTGTTTCTGCTTAGTTTCCATTGATCGTTAACGAATAAAGAAGCAAATTTTCTTTCTCAGTTTTACAGAAAGAACATTTTCACTCAAACTAGACGATTGTGGCGTGTTCGTAATCAGCCAATAGAACCGTTTGTTATTGTGTAGCGCGTTACGAGAATTTTGCAGTTAATCAAAAAGCAAGCATTTTTGTCAGCTATGTTATAAAAGAATTTGCTCATGCTTTTTAGCTGTGCGTATATCGAGTTATGGATGCACTTGGGAAGTTTGGAGAGCACTCAAGAAGCTAGAGTTGCACTCGGCTATCGCCTCGTGCAACTCTTACGCATCTTTCGTGCTCTCCAAACTTCCCGCGTACATCCATAACTCGATATACGCACGCTAAGCATGAACAAATTCTTAATTTTTTGCACCCTGAATTTTGGCCTTTAAATGCCTAATCTCTCTCTTAGAATTTCCAATGACCCTAGATGGGTTGGATATGGATATTGTCCCAGCAGTAAACTGTTAGTTTTCAGCCTGAAAGGGGTGGGGGGGGTTACTGCCATAATTATATGGGCTATATAGGTATGTGAAGGGTATGGTTTTTAAGCAGTTTACTCTGGGATAGGGTATATAAATCATAGAGTTTGGGTCTATAATAGGGTATCATTTTTCAGGAAACTGATCAGTTGGTTGAAGATTTTGTCTAGACTAGGGAAACAGCTACTCTAGGATAGGGGGGATTGGGGGAGTTTACTCTAGTACAGGGTAGTAAAATTCAGCTGAACTAGCTCTGGCATAGGTTAAGGGTTCCAGGGTCCCAGCGGCACATCCCCACCCCGAAATTCCTAAAGTACCCCCCCAGGGTTTTTCAGGTACACTGTCGGTTTGCATACACAAAGCAGCAGGCAAAGATGTCAATGGGAAACATTGCAAACCCTTTTTCAAAGAAACTATTTCATATAATGCTTTTTTTCTGTATCAGTGACTGCAGTGTTTACCATTTACAAAAAAAATGTGTTTTTGACAATGTCACACAAGAACTAAATTCATCTACTCACTAAAAAATTGAAAGTATAAACCCAAAAGAGCTGCTACATGTACGTGTAGAGCCAAAGAGGAGACTGAATGTCCAAACTTTCTTAAGCAGCAAAAGTAATAATTTTCCAAAATAACTGAACAAATCTAGCCTCTTTCATTGAATTGAATTTCTGGTTTTCTCATAAAGGGTTGTATGGAATAAGTAGCCAAGAGAGTCTTGATTTAACACCAAAGTCTGCTTAAACTCAACCAAAGAGTGAACGATACATACTATGCTACTTACGTCAGTAGAGACTGCCGTGGAACAAACACCCTACTTCCATTTAATTTGTCTCTGCAATAAGAAAAGCCAGTGAATAAATGAATTAATATTTAAAAATGACAGTATGACAAGGCAAAGTTGAATTAGCCAGCTTGGCTGCACAGAGTTAACTGTAATGAAATGTATTATTTATCACTCTACACACATCTCTTTTTAATCATCTTGATACATTTTAAACCCACTTAAATATTGCATTTATTCAACCTTGAGGACCTGTCCATGTACATACAGTCATGTACATATACATGGTGACAGGAGATTAGCACTTTAATTAGATATTTAGGGTGCTGTAGTAGTACACACTGCCACAATAAATATATGTCAATTAAATTTATTCAATGTGTCTATGAGCCACTTGCATAATTATACACACACATTAGTTTAGATTGACCAGTGTCCTTCACAAGTTCTTCTTGGTGGTTTAAATACAAACAATATTTTTCTTGACAAGTCTGGCACACAATATTATTACAAAATACATGCAACTGAATTCAAGGGCCAAAAATTGTCCTTGACAAGTTTTACCACTAATTTTTGAACAAAGGACACTGCTTAGCCAAAAGCCTTCAAATGCTTTCCAATGTACAATGAACACTGTATACGGGCAATTTTGTTTTTGTCTGAGAAAGCTTGCTTGTGTAGATGCAGCTTTGGATGGACATTGGGAGGATCTTTAACACTTTTTCTCAATTTACTTCTTGCCTACTTGAACATTCCACTCCAAGCTTTCTTGGTGGTTGGAAGAGTAGAAAAAAAATGTTGGCAACTAAAACTGTATTGTAGTGCCAAGCTGTAGTCAGTGTTTTAATTAGTTGGTTTTAATAATGGCCATCTTTGTAAAGGTAAAAAGAAATCGCCAAAAATGTGCATGAAATATCATTTATACTCCATTTTCTTGAGTCTATAACTCACCCCTTTCACCCTTGCAGTAGATATGTATAATAATAAGCCTTGAGTTGTTGCATGTGATGCGGAATTTGACTGTAATGATTGTGATACAGGTTCAGCAGCCGTTTTGGTTATTTCTGTTTGTCATAATTTATTTTTCTGGCAACGATATATCTTATGTTTGATGAACATTTTATTAATAATAGGTTGCCAAAAGGCAACTTTGAAACAATGGTGCTACATTGTATTAAATATGTTGCAAGGTCAATACAGAACCCCTGCCTGAGCCAAATTCTTCCTTTTTCTTTCTTGTTATTGTTGGTTTTCTGGGTTCTCCTGCTGTGGTTGTGCTGTCATGCATCAANTAGAAAAAAAATGTTGGCAACTAAAACTGTATTGTAGTGCCAAGCTGTAGTCAGTGTTTTAATTAGTTGGTTTTAATAATGGCCATCTTTGTAAAGGTAAAAAGAAATCGCCAAAAATGTGCATGAAATATCATTTATACTCCATTTTCTTGAGTCTATAACTCACCCCTTCCACCCTTGCAGTCTATGTATAATAATAAGCCTTGAGTTGTTGCATGTGATGCGGAATTTGACTGTAATGATTGTGATACAGGTTCAGCAGCCGTTTTGGTTATTTCTGTTTGACCCTTCATGTCATAATTTATTTTTCTGGCAACGATATATCTTATGTTTGACGAACATTTTATTAATAATAGGTTGCCAAAAGGCAACTTTGAAACAATGGTGCTACATTGTATTAAATATGTTGCAAGGTCAATACAGAACCCCTGCCTGAGCCAAATTCTTCCTTTTTCTTTCTTGTTATTGTTGGTTTTCTGGGTTCTCCTGCTGTGGTTGTGCTGTCATGCATCAATGCTTGTTAAAAGGGTAGTTTTCACGTTTGAAATTCTTGAATTAATACTTTTCTTTAGTTAGGGGTGTTTGGGGCATTGTAATTTTACAGATGAATAATTCTGACACAACGCCACAAGTTTTGGACAAAGGGTTATCATGTAGCTATTGACAAACATGTGATAGGTCTCAATAAAAATCACAACATAAAGCAAATGAGATACAAAATGTATTAGAAATAAACCTCCATATCTAAACCAAAAGACAAACTACATGTATGTTACCCTATAATGGCTCAGTGATTCAACAAGACTGTTAGGCCTTTTGGAAACTTCATGTTTTACCATTTTATGTGTGCCAAACTCAGCTGATTAAGTAAAATAATTTAAGCACAGAAGTAGTGCAACGATTGAAACGAAGTTGTGCTACTGGCTAGTATGACAAGCTTAACCATAGTGCAAAATGCCTTCATATGCCTAAAGAGGTGTATAGAACTCAATTTTAAGGTTCTAAACTAGACTTACACATTTTAACTTACACATGTTTACTTTTATTCAACTGAAAGAAATCTGACGTCTGAAACTGAGCGGTTGTATACTCAAGTCTTGCTCAACAGTCAAAAAAGCTTAGCATGGCAGTACGTAGCACCACGCCATTTCTTTGAAATATAGATAAAAACACTTTCTGTCGAAGAGATGATAGAAAACCCTACATAAACACATTCAGCAGCAAAATAGATCAAACCTGCGGTCATTTGTCACTCACTATGATAAGGACGACTACAAATATCCAATGTAAAGTGATGACTTATTTTATAATTCGCATGAAAGCTTGTATTAATATAGATCTCAAAATTAATTAAATGGCTGTTGGCTTATTTTTAAGAGTTCTGCGTTTGACAAATTTGTGCATGTATCTATTACTTTTAGAGTTCCAATAAAATGTTCCAAATTAAGAAACCTTTGAAATAATTATTTTTGAAACAATTTTCAAACAAAAGATTCAAGGCGGTATAATAATGAACTCTTAATATTTATGAGCAGGGAATGTCGTGACATTTTCCTTGCTACAGTGTAGTCGAAAACAAACAAAAGGTAAAATGTCAATCCTGCAATAAACATTTCTAACAAATCCAAAAACATCTAGGACGGTGGAAATTTACTTTCATGAATTACAACTTGAGTAAAATAAGGCTAAGTCTTTGATAAAACTTCACAGATGGAATTCATAAGATATTACTTTAAAAGAATAACTTCGAAAAGACTTTGATCTTTGAATATTTTCTCAACACGTAAATAAGTTAGATCTATCATTACTTCGCTTTTGCGTTCATGCAAAATTTCATGCAAAACAGAGCATTTTTGCAATGCTGTGAACCATAAATAGAGCGAAACCGACGCTCTCTACGCTTGAACTGATGTTGAACGCACAAGTGAAGAGGGTAATCTAAGCTTATAAGCATTATGATCTCTCAGGAAATAAACTAAGATATTCATACGACATTCATGTGATCTCCCATTAAATTTAAAATAAGTTCATGGTGATACCAGATAAGTTCACTTCCTTGGGGCTTTGAATATCCACGTGCCTAGGATTATTGTTTACTTTACTTCAGTAAACAGAAAATACGTACTCTGAACTAACCTAGTGGGGTGGTTAGAAGGATCTGTTGTGGGTTCTAAATGGTCTACATCGTGTAAAACATCGTCTATTAACTCGTTCAGCTGGCCATCAATCTGCTCTACTAACTCCGTTCTCAGTTGCTAGAGAAAAAATAGAAAAAATTAGAAACTCAAAATTTACCGAGGTCACAGAGATTAACCTTAAATTTCAAAAACTTAGGCCAGCTTGAGCTAGCTTGAACCCAGAGACGCGTAATATTTCATTTCGAAACCTGTGCACAGTGAAGCAGCTGTTCAAAAGAAACCTCAGCAGTAAAATAAGCTTGTAATACTCTCAAATACCACGATTCGGTTGTTATGAAGTGAAAACACACTGCAGTGTATATCTCGCTCCTGCATAGAGTTTCAGTTTGATGATTTAATTTAGTAGACTTCTTAGTCCATCTTTCAAAAAAATGACGATTGCATAAATCTGTAAGACCAAGACCCGCACGGTACAAAAAAGACTACAAGATTTAAATAACTGCAAAGTTTTTTCAATCATTTCACGTAAATGTGTGCAAGATTACACGTCAAACAAAATCTTGTAGATGTAGATGTAGATGTACGTTATACCTCAGCACGCTGGCGGAGTTGATGGATTCGTGCGCGACTTATTTCGTCTTTTTTATCCAAGAAATTGACCCCTAAAAAGACAACATTACATTCATTAGTTCCTAAAATTTTAGGGAACGGGGAAATATATTTGGGAAAGTCCTAAGCACCTCCATTTCTCTCGTGAGTGACTCGTCTCCTTAAATTTGCGGCCATTGCTGATGTTGTAATCTGCTGTCTCTTTTTCCGCTTTGCAACCACCCCTTTTCATTGACCGGAAAGCCCATCACGCAACCACAAGCAAACCCCGGAAGCAGGCGGGCGGGGTTGGGGGGTGTTTGAGGGGGGGGGGGGGGGGATATTTATGAAACTCCTACCCCCCCCCCTTTCTTCGGGTTGTTTCTCTCCCTTTAAATTTTGGGGCCCTTTGCTTTTTTTTTTTTCTTTTTTTTTTTTTTCCCTGTCCCCCCCCCCCCTTTTCTGGCACGGACAACCCCCCCCCAACCCCAAACAAACCCCCGGGGGGGGGGGGGGGGGGGGGGGGGGGGGTGGGGGGGGGGGGGGGGGGTGTTTACTTCCGAGGAATAGACTAATTGCCTGTGCCGCTGGATGGGGTCGCATTTTTTCGACTGGATTGACTATAAAGGGGGTTACATTTTTAATAGAATAATTAGAATGGGGCGCACATTTTTGGGATTCTGGGGGACAGAAAACTCAGGTAGGTAGGTATTTAAAAATATGAAGATTTTACTACATTTTACGTAGATGCATAAACAGAAAGTGACAACTTCAGTAAAAATAAAACACAAACCGCGGTAACAATTAAAAATGATGAAACAAAGCATGTTGCAAAAAAACTAGGATTTTAAAGACTTGACGTTTCGTATGTAGCAACATACATCTTCAGAAGTGACGGTTAATTGAAAAGATTGCAGTAAAATTAAAACACCTAGAAAAAGACTGGAACCTGATAAACAGGTAAAAACAATAATTAATGACAACAAATGATAATGACATACCAGGAGCCCATAACCTGAAGAGAGCAACTCCAATACTAAGCCTATGTCACGGCGTTTTTACGGACCAGTTTAACTTGAAGTCTGCAGGAAATTAATTATTTCAATCTTAGTTAATCTTTTCAGGAAATTAATCTTAATCTTACTTTGAACTGATTTCTTAGAATTTTCGTGGCCCATGAAATCAATTTATATAGTTTCGTGGCCCAAGATGGCACATATTTAATGGTAAATTCATGACCCATGAAATCGAAATTATCATTTTTCTTTTTTTCACGACCCCTGAAATCTCTGAGTGTAATTTTCATGGCCCATGGAATCTATAACACACCAACTTTTCATGGCTCATGAACCCTAGTGCCAGATATTTCATGGCAATTTCATGAGCCATGAAACCCATTATCAACTTTTCATAGAAAATTCATGGCCTGAAAAATAGGCCATGAAAATGAAATATCTGTATTCAGGGCCCTGAAAAATGCTTTCCTGGATTTTTAATGACACTTTTTCATGGGATTTTCATAACATTGCAGTTCATAGTGTTGTTTCATCATGTTCGTTACCGCAGTTTGTGTTTTAATTTTACTGAAGTTGAAATGGCCGAAGATTAAGAGCGTTTAGAAAGTGACAAAGTTGGGCTCGCGAAAATCACTTTTTCCCAAAAGTGACTAAGATGGGGATCTACGATTGGCCACAGCATAGACTATAATGTGATACCAATTTAAGCACTGAAGCACACGTACCAACTACTCAGTATGGCCAGTAACTCACGCATACGCACAATCATATCTGTTTATTATAGCTGTCCTAGGTCCACTTCCGGGGTGATATGGTTGTGTGCATGCGTAAGGTACTGGCCGTACTGCAGAGTTGGTACGTGTGCATCGGTGCTTAAATTGGTTTTGACTGTACGCCAGTTCCATATTTCCCATAATGCACCTTGTTCGCCACTCCCTTCCTCCCCGCCCCCCACCCCCCGCTTCCCCAAATTTTGCATGAGCATTGTTTTCGATTTCTCTTGGGACTAGACGGCTATAAAACCCAGGAGAAATGAAAAACAAAGGTCGCCAGCGGCACATACCCAGAAAAAATTAAACCAAGTGAACACCCCAAGGCGCAAACTTCAAAAGCCCATCCCGTGTGGAGATAAAGAGTTGATAACATACTTCAAGTTCTTTCTATAGAACAACGCACTTGACCTAAAGTTTTTATTTTCACCCCCTGTAGTGATTATGGTAAGGTCGCCTATCTTCTAATTGCAAAATGGAATTATGACGTTCGTCACCACCGAAATTTACTTAATTGATAGAAGGCTACTGATAAAACCTGGTGAAGTCAGACTAAAGCCGACATTACTTTTTAATAGTTTCCCAGATAGTTTCATGTAAACAATTTTGCACGTGACGGAGTCCTGGTTCTTAGATTATCTCTGGCTCTGCAAGCTCCTAAATTATGTTTGCCAGTTTGCCACGTGTCTCTTGACATTTGAATTTTCAATGCACAGGAGATATATACCGCCCCTTCAAAAATTAAAGCTTGACGAGTTTTGTTTTGTTTTCAGCTTGTGACCGTGAGGATAGAAGATTATACTGTGACAGACCATTAATATTTTTAACTGAATCGTGTTTCCTTTTTCCACTCACGCTCGTTGCCGTTTGCATAAGTGTAAATTTTAGAGAACAAATTACAATAAAATGTACAATTTTAGATATTAACATGTTGTTTCAACAAGCTATTTTATAATAATAGTGTCACTTATAACCTTCAATTTTCTGGCCTGTCTTTTTCGTTTCTAAGGGCCAATTGCGCGAGCCAAGAATCATTACGTCATTAATTGAATTGTTTCGCGCAATAAGAATTTGAGCGCACTAAACTGAGCATATATCAGAAGACCTCGCGATGAACTTTCAAACGAAATAACGATGGATTACCTTCCCAATCGGCGTCTTCTTGGGATTGTGGCGTTAGGTTGCGGCGTGTATGTAGCTAGAGAGATGTACGTGATGTATTACATGAAACCTTGGAACAGGGAAGAACACGGTTATGAGAGACCACCACCAGATGGCAATTTTCCGGATCTGCGCCTTCACAATAATTTGATGGCAAATCACCTCACTCCAGATCTTTACAATTCACTAAGGTAAGCAAATAACTAGCATGTACTAAAAGTAATTATTTGAGTAATTATTAAGAAGTATGGGTCAATATATCCCCCGCGTCCCCGACATCCTCGCTTGTATGATTATATTGGCATTATTATGCGTCATGATCACCGATTCGTCTTGGGCTCTTTGTCCAAGATTGATCAACAAACATCTACTCCCGTTTCAAAAAACGGACTCGTGGATATTATCCCTGGAAATTGCAAATGAAATCAATTTACAAGTAAGCGTCACCAACGGCTTGCAGACCAAATGGAAGAATATTTTTTTAACATTTTAGAGAAAATTATGCTAATCTGATTAATAGGTAAATTATGTGTTTTTCTGGGTATTTTAATAAGCTAAGCTAAGCTAAGGCAGGTAGTGAAAATACCGTAAACTGCAGTATATACCCCCCACGCCCTAGTTATTTAACAAATCGACCACAATTTTCCATAGTCTATACTCTTGTAGACCATAGAAATGACATCATAAGATGTTCAAAACTCAAGTGGAACCACCAGCAGCAAGCGAGTGGTTTCACTACAAAGTTTTGAACATTTCATGGCCTCATTTCTATGGTCTATGAGAGTGTAAACCATGGAAAATTGTAATCGATTTTTTTTTTTACAATAACATTTATTTTTAGTTTATTACGAAGTTCCTCGGAAAATCACATGTGACATGCGACGCCATCAGCGCGCGAGGATTCGCTAAGTTATTGTAAAAAGGTCTTTCTACCTGTAAACAAAAAATACATCAGATTGAAGAGTACAAACATTAACCACAAAGGACACAAAGGACCGCAAACGAATATGCCGAAGAACGTAGGATCTCAAAAGACCTGGGCCCGTTGCATAAAACGTCCGTAACAACTACGGGTACACGTACGTGCACTCGTAACTTAAGTCAGTTGCATGAAATCACTAAAGTGGCATGGTCAACTTAGGGAATTCATTTAAGTGGTTGCACTTACGATTTTCGTAAGTGTTCACTTAAGTGTCGTTTATGCAACAGAAATTTCGGGTGTTGCATAAAACTTTTTTTACGGGAAAAATAGCACGTAAATTTACGGGACCTATGTGGGTCCCGTATCGTCACTGTTTTTACTAAATTTAACGAGATCTTTTACTGAGAAGTGAAAAAAAGTATTTTTCTTCACGTAATTCGTTCTAATGCGCTTTGTTAACCTCTGATGAACACTTTTGTGAAAAAAGAAGAAGAACTATCATTTTCAGTAGATATTGAAGAAAAATAACGTTTGCATGCAAATTTCATTTTTTGAGAGGTTTAAAAGTGTTGGAAACGACTTTTAACTTTCTTTACACTCACCGATGGTTAGCTTAAAAAAAAAGAGTTAATCGTTAATAAAGTACTATATCAAGGTTACGTGTGCCCTTAAGTGAGCCCGTAAGTTACCACGTAAAACAGAAACTTACGAGAGTGCTAAGAATGTTCCATGCAACACCCGTAAGTGTACCCATAACGGACTCGTAAGTGACCTACTTAGGTGAGCACTTAAGTGCAGGTTTTATGCAACCGGGCCCTGGGCCCGGTTGCATAACACCTATTGTAGCTTAAGTGCCCACTTGAGTAGGTCACTTACGAATCCGTTATGGGTACACTTACGTGTGTTGCATGGAACACTCTTAGCACTCTCATAAGTTTCTGTTTTACTTGGTAACTTACGGGCTCACTTAAAAGCACACGTAACTTAATTTAATACAGTACTTCATTAATGACTCACTCTTTTTTTTTTAAGCTAACCATCGGTGAGTGTAAAGAAAGTATTAAGTTGTTTCTAACACTTTTAAGCCTCTCAAAAAAATGAAATTTGCATGCAGACGTTAGTTTTCTTCAATATCTACAGAAAATGATAGTTCTTCCTCTTTTTTCACAACGTCGGCTTTAAAGTGTACATCAGAGGTTAACAAAGCGCATTAGAACGAATAACGTGAAGAAAAATACTTTTTTTTCACTTCTCATGCTCAGTAAAAGATCTCGTTAAGTTTAGTAAAAACAGTGACGATACCTAGATAGGTCCCGTAAATTTATACGTGCTATTTTTCCCTTAAAAAAGGTTTTATGCAACACCTGCAATTTCTGTTGCATAAAGGACACTTGAGTGAACACTTACAAAAATAGTAAGTGCAACCACTGAAGTGAATTCCCTAAGTGGACCACTTAAGTAATTTAATGCAACTGACTTAAGTTACGAGTGCAGGTACGCGTACCCGTAGTTGTTACGGGTGTTTTATACAACCAGGGGATCGGCAAACATGAAAAGTAGACATATTAAACTCTGCAGGCAGAATAGTGCAATGCTGATCGTACAACGTGAAAATTAACTCTGCAAGACATCAACACGCCACCGAAAGGACTCAAAACAGAGCGGGATTGTAGCCATAGACAGCTCTGAGTGCGCGGATATTTTTCATCAGAGCTTTCTCTGGTTGTTACGCCATACTGACGAGCCCCAAAGAGGGCGAAACAGCTGTCTATGGCAACAATTAATCTCGCTCTGTTTTGAGTTCTTTCGGTGTCGTGTTGATGTCTTGCAGAGTTAATTTTCACGTAGTACGATCAGCATTGCAGTATTCTGCTTGCAGAATTTAATATGTCTATGAGATTGTACGCCGGCTCCCGGATATAAGCCCCTGTGAGCTTGTGTTGAAATGAATTCGATTTAATTTTATTATGATTTTTTGAAGCTTAATCAAATTCGTTAATTGTCACGTATCGTTTGATCAGTACTGCCATAGCACGTTGCGAAGCACTTTTTCTGTTCCGGTTATAAGCTCCCTCAGATATAAGCTCCCCCCACCACCACCGTTTATAACCTCTCCTTAAGCTGTTAAGCTCCTTACGAAGCTGATGCATTGTATAAGCCCAGGGTCTATAAGCAAAAGTTTACGGTATGTACAAAGCCTGGTCATGTGGCTACCAAATGGATTTTCCTAACGGCATTTCTCGGTGTTCTCTCGCAAGTGACCGCTGAGAGTTTAAACTTGGCATGGCTTTGCTGCTTGTAGCAACAAAGAAAAAGTTTAGACCGTGATAATCCGTCTTGAATGACACAATAACTTTTTCGTTCTTAGCAGTTAAGTTTTCTCTCTTTCTCTAATTCGTTTCGAAATATATGTTTTTTGTGGACAAATGAAGTATTTCCTCTAAAATTCATTGGAATGCCCGAGAGCATGACGAATAAGACCAGAATAACGAATTAACCATGTGATAGAAGTTCCCTTAGCAAAGGTTTTAAAACAAAACACGTTAAAACATTCCTACATCTCTTTTTGTTATTTCTGAGGGTGGGTGATTATTAAACGAATATTTCAAGTCGACATAGTATATCATCGTTGAAAAAATTAAACCAAGTGAGATATTTTCCAGCATATGCAGATGCTAACATCCGCTTTGTTTAAATTCAGTTCGAGACTGAATGATTCTGAGAGAGCGCATAAATGAATTGAAGTTCTCATAATGGCTTATACCCAAGCCCATAAATCCATTACAAAAAAAATAACAATAAAGATAGTCCCACATAGACTAGCAACATTTCCCTGGAATTGCGTGTGGAAGGGAAAGCCGGGATTTTGGAGAGGGGCATGTCATATAAAGAACGAGTGAGCGAACGAAACACACAGCTAGTTGCTTTAATCAGTGACGCCTTCCGTGTATGACAAGTCCTTCAGCAGTCGCTGACCATTAAACTTAATTGCAACTTATTAGCTTAGCAAAATAAAGAATAAAGGCATCCTTTTCATTGTTATTCTACTAAATATACTATTTAATTTTCCAAAATAGAGCGACACAGTCATGTAATTTAAATTTCCTTTATTAGGAACAAGATTACCGAAAAAGGGTTCACCCTCGATAAAGCCATTCAGGTTGGAGTGGACAACCCTGGAGTTCCATGGCAACGGGCATCCGGGATAGTAGCAGGAGACAGAGAGTCTTACGAAATGTTTGCTCCACTATTTGACGAAATCATTCGAGAATACCACGGACACCGAAAGACCGATTTTCATTCTAGAGACTTGGACAGCCGCAAGATTGTGGGCGGCAAACTTAGCAGTGCCTACGTACTTTCGGTACGATTGCACACGAGGCGGTCGATTCAGGGATATAGTTTACCGGCTGGATGTTGCCGAAGTGAGAGAAGGAACCTCGAGGACCTCATTCGATTGGTGTTCAAGCGATTGGGAGGTGAGTGGCGGCAAGGTGAGGGACATTTCGGAGTCTTCTATATAAAGTACTCCACATGAATCAGCGGGTTCTGCAGGAAGAGAAACCTGCAGTCGACAATCAAAATATTCCGAGTCTACAAATGTCTTCGAGGGTAATTCCGTAGACTACGAATACAGCCGCTTCGTCTCTTCGCTCCTGGGCACCGCTGGAACGTTTCGCGAGACAGACACTCGGCGGTTGGGAGCGATGAGAAGCCACTGTTTTCGCAGGCTAAAATACTGAAGCTTTAAAATTACATAAATTAAAGCTATGCGGCGATTTTCTTTTTGCAGGTGAATTTCAACAGAAATATTTAACCTAACCATTACCAACGAATGCCCTCGGATACCTTGTGAAAGTTATTAACTGAATTACTTCCACCATCTTCCATCACAGTGAAAGTAGAAACTAACTTCAGTCTATAACGACCAATCAGTCCTTCCGTACTCTCGCCAGGCCACCTTTTCAAAAGCTCCTTATAACTGTCCGTAACTATCATCCATCCCGGCATCTCCTTAACTTCGATTCCACGTTAGTAACTTACTAGAATTTTACAGAGAAAGCTCATTTTGGCGGAGGTTAAAGTTAGAAAATGATCCCATTTTGCCCATAGTACGAAGCCATAGTTAGTAGAAAGACTTAATTCCCTTTGGATATGACATATTTTATAATCATTTCAGGCGAGTTCGAGGGTGAATATAAAAGCCTCTCCGATTTTCCTGACCCTAGCCTTGGATCACTCAACGTTTCCACTCATCCCACGTCACCAATCATCACGTGTTCAGGCCGTGCACGTGATTGGCCCGAGTCACGTGGTATATACCGAAACAAAGACATTACTTTCGTTGTTTTTGTCAATGAAGACGATCACGTGCAATTCAGGTGCTTCGATAAAGGTGGGAACGTGCAAGGCGTGTTTGACAAGTTAATCCGGGGAATTGCAGCGTTTGAGCGAGAGCTTAAGAAGTCTGGGGAAGAGTTCATGTGGGATGATCACCTTGGTTACATCGTTTCGGACCCAATTTACCTCGGTACTGCACTGGACGTTAGAGTAAGAGTCAAACTGCATCACCTTTCTACGGTAAGGATCAGTAAACCAGCTTGGTTTGCAAGCGTTTTAGTCGCTTATGGCAGTTTTTAAACTACGTTTGGACGAACTGTGGGGGCTTGATATCTGGCCACTTGTTTGGACGATTTGACACAGGGTCAGACTCGTAATCTGGCGGTCCTGGGTTCGAGAGTTCCGCTCTGACAACTGGCCGGGTTCATTTCTCTGTAGTCTGCAATTCAGTTCCTCGGCCATGTTTATTTGTCAGATAACAGCCAACAGGTTGTCTCATACCATTCGGGGTTCTAAAAAAAAAACATCCCGTTATGTTCTCTACTATGATTAGTGAACTTATGCGACAGGTCGGGAGAGGAAAGAAGACGGCAAATCTTGTGTGACAAGCGTGATAATAATTTTGTTTGAAATAAAATTTCGCTAAACTTCACTTCCCTTTGAACAGATCTTTCTGTAAAAGACCAGAAAACATTAATTTATGTCAAGTGAAGATCAAGGCATATCACGCAAATAATAGCCCTGTCACGTTTGACCAAAGGATATTTTGGAAAAAAGATGTACTCCTGCCGTCCTGTTGCGTGAAACAAACAGCCTTCCCTGTCCCTACCAACAATCCCAGAAGTCTTTGAGAAAGTTAACTGGGCGAATGCCCTAGCTTTGAAATATGCCATAGCTATTTCTGATCAATAACAGTAACCAATCTTCCCCAGGATCCAAGGCTAAGATGGATTCTCACGGCGTACAAACTTGAGAGGAGACGAGCAGGTATGATTCATCTTTTTGGCTTAGCTTAGTTTTATGGTCAACAAGATGCCTTAAGTTTATAGCTACATGATTCAGCATCGCAGAGCTAACCTGGGAACAGGCTCTTTAATTTTTGTCGGAAGCTTGCTTGCAAAACTTACTAGCCTTGAACCATCTGAAAACTAACCGAGACGCCGGGAAACTAGTTGTAACTTTCTAGTCCGTGCTATGTCTTACGTGACAGTTCGAATGAAACCTATTCACTTCTAAATTTGGGAAATTAAGCAACCGGCGCAGGACAGCGACGGAAACGAGAACGTCAAAAAAGCAATAGGTTTACTAACAAGCAAAGCTATAACTCTGTACATGCAGCACGCATTTTGGTAGACTTCTCTGCCGACACTGCACGACTGCGACGTGGAGTTATAGAGTGCGAAAGCGCACCCCGACAATTTTTTCCTTATTTTTTGAACTTAAGTGCGCCCTCTAGCTAAGTATTCAACTCAAGAAATAATTCGCCTGTATTTGGCAAATTGGGTTAGTGGGCATTATTATTGTTTTTCCAAGCATCGATGCTCTAACCAGGAAGAGTTATTTTTTAACATCCAATTGGACGATTCCAAGTGTGTGAGGCGCCAATTTAACCTTTAATTAAGAAATCAAGGGAATCTATCAAGATATACGATGCTTCTTTCTTTCTTTCCTTTTTTTTTTCTAGGGCTCTCTGAAGGGGACCTTCTCTCTGGAGTAATGTTTATTCATGGTTCGCGAACTCTTGGTGTTTCCGAGGTTTGTTTCTTTGTTGGTGGATACTGTTTGTTTCAACAGCTGAAGTAGTCAAACAAATATAAAGAGCGATTGCTAGTTTCTCCTTTTTTCAAGCAGTTCCGTAAAATTTAACGGTGTGTGTTTTATTCTAGTGCCTTGAAAAGTTGCTGAGTTCTGATATCTATTATCCACATAATTTCATAGTTTTACCTTGGAAACGAATCTTTAAATGTAGCGAGCTGGCCCTTGAAAGTCACAAATCCACAAACAGTCACAACATAAGTTTGGGTAGTCTGAATAAAAAGAGTTTCACTAAAGAACGGACTTAAAGAGTTCAACGGGGTTGACCAGAAAACATGTTCTTGGCTACAGTCCATTCTCAATGGCTCTATGACTGACCTCCTCCATTGCTCTTTATTTTTGGCTTATTATTTTTGTAATACCCTCACCACGGGATGGTTGAGCGGAACCGTATTACAAGACCCCATTACACACTTTTCGATCTCTCTCTTAAGAGCTCTGCCAATTTTTAAAAATCTTTTTACTTACATGCAAACTCAGTCATATAAGACTGTTTTTTCTAGGTACATTCTGTTCAGCGCTTGTGTGATGGAGTTAATCGTCTAATAGAGATAGAGCGCATGCTGGAACGGGGAGAAGACATTGAAGATGCCTTGCCAACGGCCCCGGTACCTCGTAGCGAATTCAAATTCGGTGTATAGATAACTATTAACTGGGTAGACAGACACGAAATAAATCTTCACATTTAGTTTGAGATCGAGTAAAAACAAAACGTATTTTCACTACTTGCTACTCAAACAGATCATTGGCTCTTTTACAATAAAAGTGTTTGTTTTATTTTGCTGATATGGTCCAAAATAACTGGGCACATTAAAAATTATTTGATTAATACGTGCTGTTATTGTCATCATTTCTTTGTTCTGTCTTTTTTTAATGCGACCTTTATTTGGACGATTAAAGGTTCTAAGTCACGCTACTTGCTATGGTTCATTTTTGTTATTTTTAAGACTATGTTTTAGGGATTGAAACCGTTTCCTGTTGTCTGTTGCAACGGATGGCAAAGATTGACATGGATTAAAACTTAAAAAAGTTGGGCCAACCTTGTTAAGTTTTAATTTATACCTGCAAATTAAAATCACCAAAAACAAAATTCATTGTTACTGCTTCCTGGTGAAATTTGTTAGATACGGCTTCGTCAATTTTTTAAAAAACGCTACAGAGTGATTTTGTGTATTGGTAAAAGAACTAAGCAGTGAATGTCTTCAGCACAGAATTGACCTAAAACAACAATATCCTCGTGACATTAAGCCCCTTTAACCTGAAAGCAAACAAAAATAAAGGCGATTGAAGGTACTGTGCAAAAGGGTCAAAATCGGTGGTAGCTTTGACGATTTCGTTAAATTTTAGAGCTTTTGACGGTTGACGGTTGACGGTTATTAAGTGGAAATTTAGTCCAAAATTTAAAATATTATAACAACTTCTGTATGAATTAATATTAACCAGGAGAGGCTCCCGAAGGAGGTTGTCTTGGCCCTATAAATTTTTCACTTACAAATATTCTCAGATATAGGTTGTAATGAGGTATTGTAATGTTTAGAAAGACTAGAAAGAGAGAAAAAGTGTTTTTTGAGAACATGAGAACTGATTTTTCCAGTTTAGAAATTCTTCAGGAGCCCGACGGAACTGCCGAGAAGATCACCTGAAATAGTGAGATTTGAAAAACTTTATTGAAGCTTTTTGACGGTTAATCTTAACTTGCATTTTTGACGGTTTATAAGATCGTTAACCTTGAAACTGTTGACATTTTTGTTCTCAACCTTTGACTAAAAGCTTTGACCGTTACCTTAAAAATGAAACCTCTTCAGCAGTACTTAGGTGGTTTGATTGATACATAATGTCAGCGATTCTCATGATGAAATGTGGCGATTTTCTCGCGGAATGTTAATTATGTAAAGTGGCCTTTGGAGTCAGGGGTTGAGAATGATGAATGGGTATTTAATAAGGTCTTTATGTGGCGTAATTGTCACAGCTCTGCAGTTATGAATTGTAAATGTCGGCAAAACCCTTCGCTTTGCTTTCTGTACAGATAATATGGTATAAGAAATAGTGTGAGAGAACGAGTGGCGNCAACAATATCCTCGTGACATTAAGCCCCTTTAACCTGAAAGCAAACAAAAATAAAGGCGATTGAAGGTACTGTGCAAAAGGGTCAAAATCGGTGGTAGCTTTGACGATTTCGTTAAATTTTAGAGCTTTTGACGGTTGACGGTTGACGGTTATTAAGTGGAAATTTAGTCCAAAATTTAAAATATTATAACAACTTCTGTATGAATTAATATTAACCAGGAGAGGCTCCCGAAGGAGGTTGTCTTGGCCCTATAAATTTTTCACTTACAAATATTCTCAGATATAGGTTGTAATGAGGTATTGTAATGTTTAGAAAGACTAGAAAGAGAGAAAAAGTGTTTTTTGAGAACATGAGAACTGATTTTTCCAGTTTAGAAATTCTTCAGGAGCCCGACGGAACTGCCGAGAAGATCAGCTGAAATAGTGAGATTTGAAAAACTTTATTGAAGCTTTTTGACGGTTAATCTTAACTTACATTTTTGACGGTTTATAAGATCGTTAACCTTGAAACTGTTGACATTTTTGTTCTCAACCTTTGACTAAAAGCTTTGACCGTTACCTTAAAAATGAAACCTCTTCAGCAGTACTTAGGTGGTTTGATTGATACATAACGTCAGCGATTCTCATGATGAAATGTGGGGATTTTCTCGCGGAATGTTAATTATGTAAAGTGGCCTTTGGAGTCAGGTGAGAATGATGAATGGGTATTTAATAAGGTCTTTATGTGGCGTTATTGTCACAGCTCTGCAGTTATAAATTGTAAATGTTGGCAAAACCCGTCACTTCGCTTTCTGTACAGATAATATGGCATAAGGCATTTTGTGAGAGAACGAGTGGCGTAACTCCAATCACTTGATTTTGAATGATCCCTCAAATGCGCAAGACTGCTTGAGTAAATTTACATTGTTCGCCTTGCGTGCGAATCAATTCTAAGACGATTTTAAAGGTTTTCATTTGGAGCTATGTTGTTATATGATTCTTTCTCTCTTCCTTTGGTATGTACTGCAGTACGTGATCGAGCCACTGTTATCAAGCCATAGAGTTGAACTGACAAGGTTACGTAATCACAATATTTTAGGGACCCAGTTGTCATTCGACAGTAATTCTCGCTAACAAGTTATCACTTCATCACATTGAACAAGCAGCACAGCAAATTTTTTTAAACTAATTTCCCGCAACTCGCTCACGGCTAGCTCACAGAGTAGAGAACACACCCGCGCCCAAATTGCGCCGGCGTTAATTTGGGAGGTTAATTTAGGGGGTAACAGGTTCGAAACTTGCTCATTCATCAGGACTGAGAAGGGTTGACTTCCATCCACATTACGTGCTACTCTAAAGAGAAAATGGTCCAGTTTAAAAACACGTTTTATGTCCAAGAAGGTCAAGTGCTTATAAAAATTAACCCGTGACGAAAGTGTTTTAGCGTTAGTTTTCTGTGGTTGAAAATCGCTGATTCAAGAGGTGGATAAGGCTGTTGACCTGTAGACACTCAGATTAATTAGTCCAACTTTGTAAAGCCCTGTCGGGCATAGTACATAACTCTGAATTGGATGGTGTGCCCATTCAAATGAATCCTTTCTTTAGGAGGTTTTTCACTTGGTTTATATCAGTATATCACCAATTCCCATAACGAAATGTTTTGGGATTTTCTAGCTTGAATGCTATTTATGTTAAGTGGCCTTCGGACTCAGGGGTTATAAGGATGATGAATGGGTGTTTAATAGGGTCTACTTGTGATCGTAAACACTTTCTCATGATCGTTTTGTCACAGTATTAAAAAACCAAACTGTATATTGCCGAAACCCTCATGGATTTTTCGATTTAAACGGAGTGTTTGGTTCCAACGCATGAGTGATTGGGGTAACACTAATCGCCTTTCTCTAGCTTTTTCACATAAACCAGTGTCGGTACGGGATCAAGCCATAAATTGAATACAAAGCTATTATAACACAAGGTTATTACGTAATCATCATTTGGGTTGAGAGGTTGAGAGACGGTCGTGTCTCACTTATCACTCGTTAACGGTGATCAATAAGCATAGGTCTCGTCTAAAAACCACCCATGGGTGATGGCGATTTACTGTATAAAAAGTTTAATGATTTATTTATTTACATAGACAACTTTATTGTGATCTTGCAATCGGCGAGAAGCCTTTTCCAGGCTGCGAGATAGTCGGGCCAGCCAATTGAGAAAGCGCAAAGACGAAAATAAAACGGGAGGAAACTGGGCCCTTCCTTTTCCTCTTTTCGCCCCGCCAACTTTTGGAGTGCCTTTTACTTTCGCGTCTTCCCCACTATCTGAGAGCCTCGAACAGGCTAATCCGCGAGTCGCTCCTAAGCTCAGTGATGAGAACACCCACCATGGTTCGAGGTCAATTTTGGGTTGGTAAGGGCTCGAACTTGTTCAGAACAAAGGAGGGTTCATTTCTGTCTACATCGACTGCCACTCCGGGGAAAAAATGTTACGGTAGCGTTCCGTGAAACACATATAGTATGTGCAAGAAGATTTGCGCTTAAAAAATTAAAGCATTTTTTTGACCTGTTTTATTTAACAACAAATGTTTCATTTTCTTCGAGACAGTTACTTCTACAGGGGCACCCAACGGCAATTTTCGGGAAAATATCTGTTCGGAAGACGATTTAAGATCTAGAATTTTCGGAGCATTTGTTGTAAAATTTCTTGCTTGCCTGCCTCTCCTAGGATTTCCGAACATCTACAAAATGGTATAATTACCCATTTTTAACGGATTTTGACCCTAAAAAAGGCCACCTAGAATTTTCGGGAGCCTTTTCCTGGCTGAAATTTTCGAGAAGGTAAGTTTTTATCCCTATAATTTTCGGATCACTAGACTTTCAGCTAGGAAATCCGAACAGATGAAAAGTTTTTAGGGGATAAAAATATGCCTATATCTACCGTTTGAACACTAAAATACGTTCAACAATGCTATATTAAGTGGTTTTGAACTATATCCTCGTTGGGTGCCCTTGGTTCTAGTCTTCCCTTAACTTGAGTCGCATTTTTTTTGGGGCGATTTGGTCTTCAACTGGTGACATAGATTGATCTTGCAACATTTTCGAGAAAAATGAATGTTCGATATCATATCATTAAAATTTATACGTGGTTATAGGGTTACCCTAAGTGGCTTCAATTTCAGTTTTGTTTCCTCAAGTCTCTCAAGTGTTAAGAACTAGGGTTAAGGTGACGAAAGTGTTGAGCGTAAAATTTTCTAATTAACAACCGCTAAGTCAAGGAGTGGATAAAGCTGTTAACCTTTAGACACTTAGATTGAATCCTAGAGATTTGTTATATAGTTCTTACGGTGTGTTTTAACCTTGGAGCGCATGATGTCAATTCATGCGGTGGGTAACCTTTCAAATCAATAACCCCTTCAGATGTGCTTTAAGTGGTCTTATTTGTATGTCAGCAATTTCCATAATGAGACCTGGGGATTTTCTTGAATCTTAATTATGTTAAGTGGCCTTCGGAGTCAAGGTTTAAAGATGATGAATGGAACTTAAATGAGTTCTTCACTGATTTGCGTTTTTGTCTAGCCATAATCACAGTGTTATCGTCA